AGAACAGCTAAAAACCACAGGACCAAGGGATAATATGGTAGTGATTTTTTTGCCTTTTATTTTTGCCACATATATCCCATAAAAAAAAAAAAAAAAACCTCATTGCCATCAAGTTGATTCTGACTCAAAGTGACTCTCATTGGGTTTCTGAGGCTATAAATTTTTGAGGGAGTAGATCGCTCCATCTTCCTTCCACAGAGAAGCTGAAGCTGATGAGTTTGAACCACTGACCTTCTGGGTGGCAGCCAGATGCCTTATCCATTACGTCACCAGCGACCCTTACATATCCCATATTTAGGGCCAAATAAGCCAGGAAACCAGAAATACCAGTAGGTGCCAACAACAACAAAAAGCCTTTTCTCTTTAGCCAAAGGAGAACCAGGAAAGGGGTAAAAAAAATGTTAGACACAACTGCTCTACTCCAGGAAAATGGCACAAAAACAACAGACAACAACAAGAACAAAAGAAAACTATATTCCAAACCTTCCCACACAACCAAAGGTTAAGTGCAGATCTTAGACTTTCACCCTCAGGCAGTAACAAGACAGCCCAACCTCCCTAGCGAGTTGTATCAGAAAAGATTGAGTAGGGTGTAAGCATATTTATCTCTGCTGGTCATTAACAACCCCCCCACACCCACACACACACAAACACACACTGCAGACCACGTGGAAGCCTGGATTTCTACCCCCACTCCTCAATAATGATGCGCCCTGTGGTAGTGTCATCAGAGGAGGTCTAGTGAAGAATTGGGACTTTTACTACTACCACCCAGTAGCAGTGAGGTCACTCTCCTCTGACCTAGTACTTTCAGTGAAACTTAATTGAGAAGCAGCAATAAGGCATTCCATCTCCTCCCAATCAAGGAGGAATGAATGTGATTCTCATTGGGAGATGGAATTCTCACCTTCCCCTCACAGTAACACAGAGCCCTCCAACCTCAGGTGGAGGTTGAGTTGGGAACTTGGGCTTATACCACTAACTAGCAATAACAAGGCAGTGCCCTCTCTTTCCCCTGCCAGAAAGTTATCAGAAACAGAAGGTTTAAATAAGGTAGTCTCTTAACATAATGCGTAAAATGCCCAGGAAATTACTTGTTGGACCCAGGAAGATGTCAAAATGAATGATAAAAGTCAGCAGATGTGGACTCCAAGATGACAGAGATATATTAGGATTATCTGACAAAGATCTTAAAACCACCCTTATAAAATTGCTTCAACAAGCAATTGTGAACATGCTTGAAGCAAGTGTAAAAACCAAAGTCTTAACCAAGAAATAGAAGATGCAAAGAATAACCAAATGGAAATGTTAGAACTAGAAAATACAATAATATTTAAAACAAAACTGACTTTATGGACACAGCAGTAGAATGGACAGGGCAGAGGAAAGCATCAGTGAAATGGAAGACAGAACAGTAGAAATTGCCCATTCTGAACAACAGAGAGAAGTAAACTGGATAAAAAATAAACAGAGCCTCAAGGACCTGTGGGCCTCTATCATATCTAATATCCATGTCATCAGAGTCCTGGAAAATGAGGAGAAAGAAGGCGGGCAGAAGAAAAATAATGGCTAAAAACGTCCCAGATCTTGCAAAAGACATGAACGTACAGAATCAAGAAGGTGAGCAAACCCCAAACACAAGAGACCCAAAGATATCCACATCAAAACACATCATAGTCAGGCTTCTGAAAACAAAAGACAAAGAAGAAACTTTGAAAACAGCAAGAGTGACACAACAGCTTACTTACAGAGAAGAAGCAATTCTATTGACAGTGGATTTCTCATCAGAAACCATGGTGTCTGGAAGAAAACAGAGAAGATTTTTCAAGTGCTGAAAGAAAAGAACTGTCAACCCAGAATCTTATATCTAGTGAAAATATCCTTCAAGAATGAAGGGGGAAATCAAAATATGGTCAGCTGAGGCCAAACTAAGAGAATTTTTTCCCTAAAAGAATGGATTATGGAAGTTCCTTAAGAAGAAAAAAGAAAAAAAAAAAGAAGAAGAAGGCAGCACCTTGAGTATCAGGAAGGAAGTAACAAATAGACAGCTTCTTCACAAAGAATCTTTAAGATAATGAGTCCAGGTTTGAATATGACCTGAATTTATTCACATTAACACATAGAAATGCATGGATCAGAGAATGTAAGTAGGTTATGAGTGGGTTTCAGTACAGGTTCCCGATCATTGCCAGAAATATAATCTTGGGCAAGTCACACATGGAGGTGAAGACTATTGATTGTCTACTGTGTGCTGGTACTAGCTGCTGCTACATACAGTATTTCCCTTAATCCCCAAAACCCACCTGGGATGAAATAGTTTTATCCTTCCATTATAGATGCTCCACTAAGGCTTAGAGGGAGAAAGTAGCAGGCATAGCCAAAGCTACATGACTAGTGCTAGAGCCAGAGCTGACCTGGGGTTTCACAACCACAAAGCTAACACTCCTTTAACTGGTCTCACTGCCTAGACCATGCAGAGCCTGTAAGATGGAAATATTAATAAAAAGACAAGACATACTCAAAGCCTGCATATTCAGGCCTAGTCTGCGGAGTCAGGATTCAAAGAGTAGACAAAATATGAAAACACAGAAAAATAAATTAACATGATATGTCTGAATGAAGATGTTACACTGGTGGGCAGTAGTATATAAACACAGGTAGATATATTATGCTTGGTAAAGTGGCGGGTCAGTGAAGAAGGGGAAGGCCCTCAAATAGATGGATTGACACACTGGTTGCAATGATGGACTCAGGTATAGCAAGGATTGTGAGGTTGGCACAGGACTGGGCAGTGTTTCATTCTGTTGTATATAGGGTCACTATGAGTCGGAGCCAACACAATGGCAACTAACAACAAAAACAACAACAACAGAGTACAATGTGTATTCATAAAAATGTAGCGTGAATCATCACTCAAATTGCAGCTTCTGCTTAGTGTTCCTCTTGGGTGAAGAAGCAGAGAATCATTCCAACTGTCTTAAGAAAGTGAAGCTTATTATACTCTGTACATGGATGAAACTTGTAACTGTTAGAACCAATGGGACAGCTTTGGAGAGAAAGTTTTTCCATCTCTCTTTCATAGACCATATGAATTCTCCCTCAGAGGGAATCTGTATGTTGGTCCACTCTTTGTCTCTAAATGGCTTATGCTTTGTTTCTGCTCCTGTAAACTACTGCCTAACACATGGCCATCATGGCCCTTGGACTCACTGAACACTGTGGCCTTTCAGCTCCAGCTTCTACATGAAATGCTTTACTAGTTTAATGTTTCTTGGCACAGATTTCCAAGAGAGGAAATCTGTTCAGCTCAATTTATCTTTTCCTGCCAGGACCCTTCATAAGCCATTGATCACACCATGTATTGACTGTTTGGTGTGTAGCAGACACACACTAAATATTTATTGAATAAATTTGTTAAATGAATGTGTTTGAGTTGCAATTCCTTTACTTTGTAAGGAAGGGATGAAGGGGTTCACATGGTAT